TACTCTATGCTATTTTCAGTTTGTTTTTAGGGCTTTTACTGGTAACTGCTCTATCAATTTTCTGTGAGATGTCTACTGTGAAGCACTTTGAAATGCACTTATTGTATGAAAGGTGCTAAACAAATAAAGATTATTATTATAATGTAATGATTCAATACCCACCTCGAGAATTTCATTGAGGGAAATCATGTCTTTATCAAACTCCTGGGTATTGCTCTGAGAATGAAAACAAGAAATCGGTTAGTTGCAGTAGAACAGAAACGGAACAGGTATTTTATGTAAACACAAAAGCACAACGAGCATCAAAGACACAGGAACACTGCACCTTCTTCTTCTTCTTGTTGGTGCTGGACTCGTACTGAGGCAGAGGGATGTGCTTCCCCAGAACATCCGACAGACACTCCATCAACCTCTCCTGGTACACATTCACCTTCTGGATTTGAGTTTTTGTGTCCAGCAATATACTGTGGAATGCATGTTTACACACACATGTTTGGTAGAATTTGTTTCCTCTTTTCATATTTCTGCTACTATTCTCAGGGTGAGCTGCCCTCCAATGGAAACACATCTCAAAACTTGAACCCTTCTTGTTTAGTGTGTTTTCTCTGCAACACTCACCTGTGCTCTGATGCTTTCTCCTTTTCTATTTGTCTTTGCTCAACGTGTTTTTTGGCAGCTATCAGCACTTGTGTCTTCTCCTCCAACCACTTCTGTTCACTGAAAAACATTGACTTTTATCATTATTCATACACAGAGCTAAACAAATGGAATGTTTCTGAAAGGCCATGTGTAAGCATTTCCAGTATTTTCCCTGAGGAAGGAAAAGAAAGTCGGAACTTCACACATAAGGTTTACGCACAGTTCTTTGGTTTCTTTCAGTTTGTCTCTCTTTGCTTCCTGGCAAGAAAGACCCATCTCAAGTTCCGAGCACAGTTTGAGCATCTGTGGAAAACAAAGAGGAAACATTGCTGGCATTACTGGAGCATTTAAATAAGAATTTCCAGTATTCTTTAATGTTGTAACATATCAAGACATACCTCTTCTTTTCCAGCTTTGAGTAAAACTTCTGAATTTGATGCCAGCACTAGATGTAGAAAAATAATGAAGTGCATTTTAACACATTAGAAACAGCAGGTAAACAATTTCAATTAGATTTTAAAGCCTGGAATCACAATTTGATAAAGTAAAGTCTTATATTAAATCTTGATTAAACGAATGTGTATCGCACCAATTTCACAGCAGACTAAACGATTTCCTTTCAAATGTTGTGGAATGAAAGTAAACTGTACCAGAGGCATAAAATCGTGGTGCTAATTTGTGATATTGATATTTTGTAAATTCATATATTATGTTATGTTCAAGCTTTTATCACAGTGTGAATGGAGTACTTACATTTAGGCTCCACTGACAGCCACTGCTTCAGTTCAGCTTCCGCTGCCATCAGTCGATTTACTGCCTGTGAACATTTGGCAATGCACAGTAACAAATGATCAATCTCATTTATTAAGCAGGATTAAGTTATGTAATTTGCATTTAATAATGTCACACATTTCTATAAAAAATAAAAAATAAATAAGCTGATCATATTTTGTAATATGTGAAAGGACATTTTTTTTATTAAATATTTTTAAAAAAAATACTTTTTTGCTCTTTGGGGACATCTTAACCTGAATTTAGCACATCTTTAGGTTGGGAATAATCTAGAGTCTAGTTTTAAAAGTTGAGTGACTGGTTAAGATTAACTCTGTCCAGTGAAGACGAGGTACAGGTCACAGTGATATTTGGTTTTGTACAAAAAAAATCAAGAAGAACGAGCTTGAAATGTGACATTGTTTGTCAACATTTATAAAACACACTTATGGCTTGTTGTTGCCATCTGAAGCCATTACAGGACAAAACTCTCTAATTGTCTGCATTTTACATTTGTTACAGCAAGGTTATAATTCTTATTTTTATCATTAGTTTTACAGCTATTTTGAACTAATATTAGCATTGTAAAATCACTATAACTATAATGTTTATAGCTTGTTTTCACATGTATGTACTACAAAGTATTATAACTTGAATGTATTATTTCATCTTTTAGGTGTCCGTCACTGTGCTCTTCCAAATGCCTCTGCAGTTCCTTAAATTCAATTCACTCTTTTAGTTTACATTATACATTTTCCCTGAATGTGTTAAAGGTTGAATATTAGTGGCAGAAAAGCACAGTTTGATGAACATTTGTCAAAGTTGTTCTTCTGCCTTTCCCTGTATTTCATAATGTGTGAATTGTCAACCAGTTAGGAAATCTTTATTGCCAGTTTAGGCCTTTGAAATATATTATGATTATAATAAAGGTCTACATTAACGTTACATTTTGGAGTCAATGTAAGGGATTTTCAAGTTTGCAAGTGAAAAGTGTTGTCTAGGCTAGGGTATTTATATAAATCTTTTTAATTAAATGTCATAAATTCATTTAACAATGATATTTCAAAAAGTAAACGAAAAAATTAAATGAACACCAACTTCAAGGCGTTCCATGTGTTACCAGTGGTGTAAAGTAACTAAGTACATTTACTCAAGCACTGTACTTAAGAACAATTTTGAAAGACTTTACTTGAGTGATCCAATGTTTTGGAACTTTGTACTTCTACCTCACAACAATTAGAAGTTTGTTAATAGAGTAACTTTACTCCACTACCATCATTTAATTTAGTTATTAGTATACATATTTTGATGCCAATACTTGTGTACTTTAACTTGAGTAACATTTTGAATGCAGGACTTTTACTTGTAACAGAGTATTCCTGGTACTTACTTTTATTTAAGTACAAGATCTGAGTACTTTTCCCACCTCTGTGTTACATGGGGATTCACGTACTGTATATAAAGTGAAGCATGTACAGTCATCTCACCTGGTCTTGAGGATTCTCACATGCATCTGGTTCAGACAGTATGATCTCATTCTGAAGCTGCAACACAGAGACACAGACTGCAGTTTGTACCTCTTCTTCTCTTTCGGGCCCAGAGTATAAAGCACAGCCCGGGGAGACATTACCTTCTCCAGCAGGGTGAACTGGTCCTCACACTGCTCCATGAGCTCATTGAGAGCGGTCTCTGACAGAGCCTCTTCCGCCACCACACCTGCCTCCAACTCGGCCTGGACACGGGAACACAAAGAGGACACTATGTATCGATTTGTATGTCGTGTTATGTATGAATACTTAGTACAGCACGGAAAATACTGTCAGAGTCAGAGCATGGTTGATGTGTTGTTAGCTGTAGGCTAGGTTGAAAGTTGACATTAGCTAGTTTAAGTTCGCAGGGCCAATATTTTCTATTAATAATTGATATGTAAACCTTACACTTTATATTATTTTTTACATATTGGCAATACAAGAATCAGTCAAAGGACGAGTTGACTCACCATAATTTGTAAATGTCAGAGATGTATCTCCAAGTCACGGAAAATAACAACAGACGCTCCTTTTTCAAATTACCGCCAACGCTGATGACGTCATATCTGCGACAGAGTGCTGAGGAGTGTCATAGATATGAGGAGCGCTGCTGCTGCGCAGGGCTGCGCATGTTCAGTTTTTCAAATGTAATATTAGGAGAAATACTAAACCAGAAAAAACTTCAGTTAAACAGAAGAAGATTAAGGTAGGACTCATACAAATACACAGACTGAGATAGGATGTATACATTGTTTTGCGTGTTTTGATATTTTACCATATTTCCATTGACTTAAAGTTGTTGGCAATGATAATATCGAAAACGGTTGCTTTTGCGGATCAATCTGATAAAAGAGAAAATATGAGGCAAGATTGAAGAGAAACAGAAACAATGGCATTTTAAATAGGAGCTAGAAGTTCCCTTCCAGCTAGCCTACTACTGCTTTTCAGAGGGGGATAAAGCACATTTTAACAAACTGCATCTATTAAACAGTAGGATTGATCCCATACCTTTATTTGACAGCAACAGCCACTAGTTACTTTAAATCTCAAGAATTTACCTACAAAAAAAGACCAAAGTGTAAATATGCTGCAATTCAATAACATTTATTGAAACATTCTGAAAGGGGGGAATGGTTCTGTATTCTCTTTTTGTATTGTTTAATTACATTTTAGTGTACCACCCCTCCTTTTTAAGGTTTGAAATGTGGGACTTTTACTTTTAAGTAATTTGAGGTATACTTTAGCCTACTTTTTCTAACAAAGGGATTACATCTCAGTCAGTACTTTTTCCACCACCGCCAAATAATACATGTAGGCCTAGGTTTGTACATTCTTTTGAAATGTATTTATTTCCCATGTATTACACGTAACTTGTGTCATTTGGTAGATTTTACAGGAAGCATGTAAGGGTTCAGTAGGTTGCAGGCGCAGGAGGTGTCATTACAGAGCTGGCCCGGCCCATTAAGCGGCATAAGCGGCCGCTTAGGGCCCCGCAGCCACTAAGGGCCCCCAATCAAACAATGAAAAAGAATAATAATAATCTCAGTACATCCGTTGCCGTGATAAGTATATGTTTAATTAATGTTGTTAATATGCCTAGATTACCTACTCTCAAAGTTATGTATTATATTATTGAGTCCATAATACATTAACCGTGCTTTACCTGAACCACATCATGAAAGGACGGCAGGATTGTAATTTCCCATGTTCAGTGAATGCAACAGAGGAAAGACACCAGACCAACCAGAGAGTTTAATTGAAATAAACACCTGTGTTATTGGCTGACAGGTACCTATCCTGTGGGCTGTGACAATAGAGAGGCGAAGTCCCGCCCTTCTACTTCCACCCCATGGGACCTTATTTTGGAAAAATTATATATTGAAGTCAATGGAGAGAGAAAACTTATCTTTCGATCCCGTTTAAAAAATAATTTCCATGTCAAAAAAGTCAGAGTTTGTCGTAAAACTGTTGAAATATAAGAAGAAAAAAAAATGCAAGCAACTAGAAAGACTACAAATCCCAGAGTTGCGTAAGTTATGTCGTCATTGTTTTTCCTCCACTAAATATAAGAGATAGCTAAGATAACTTTAACAATATGCCTGTGTGCTTTGTACCAGGCTGTAATCATACCAGCAATGGGTCTTACTCGTTCTTTCGCTTCCCATCTGATGAAAGGACCAGGAGTGGCTGGCTGGATCAAGTTAGCTACCTAGCTAGTTGCAAGCACGTTAGTTAGCATTACAGCCGGCTTAGCCTTGTTATTTTTATTAGCCTTAACATGAAGTAACATTAAGGTAACCCAATTGTTAAACAGAGTAGTAGTCATATTTCGTGAACCCTTTGAAGAGTACTGTCA